CTGCTTTTACTCAGATAAGCATTGCCATTTGATATAAAACACACACACATATATATCTCCTTCTCTCCATTCATGTGGACTTGGACTATATGTTTCTTAAATTTTTAATTTAACTTAAGTGGCAAATTTTTGCTTTTACCAGTTCACATAATAAGGTTCTGTATTTTGAATATTTCTCTGATTGCCGTCTTAAGTCCACAAGATGGCAGTGTTTTCTCAGAGGCGCTGAGGAAAGCTTTCAAGTGTTCCTGAGTGTGTGTGTGTGCGCGTATGTGAAAGAGAGAGAGAGAAAGAGAGATGAAAGGAGAGAGGACGGGAGAGGAGATGAAAGGAGGGGAGGGGAGGGAAGAGGGGAGGAGAGGAGAGGAGAGGAGAGAAGAGAAGAGAAGAGAGGCTGGGTGGTGTAGCAGGGGTGGAGAAAAAGTCTTTTTTTCCAGTTGGTAGAACAGATTCTTTTTATGATTTCTAAAGCAGAAGAGTTAGTCGTGCTTGAGCTAGACCCATATTTTTAGGGTTTAAAATTTGAATCCCAGGGAAGCAGGGGAGGAAACAATGATGAAATCCTCAAGAGTTTTGCTAGTTGTCATGTGGATTCCATTAACTTGTGAGTTTGGGGCATCTCTAGAGAAATATAAAGTACAATATTTGGAGCTATTATCTATTCTGGGTCTGTGGGTAGAAATATGAATTTTTTCCCTTCTAACTAAGGGAGGTTATGGGTGAGAAGACCTCTGGAAAGGTAATTTAAATTCTGGAGTGTAAGTATTGACTGTCTAACCAATCTTCTTCAACTGAGCGTTGTCTTTTTGAACAGGCATGAGGAGTCAGCAGAAGGGAGTGGAGCAGAGTCCTGGATCTCTGAGGGTTCCAGAGGGAGCTATTGCCTCTCTCAACTGCACTTATGGTGACAGTGCCTCCCAGTACTTCCCGTGGTACAGACGGTATTCTGGGAAAGGCCCTGAGTTGCTGATATACATATTCTCCAGTGGTGACAAAAAGGAAGGAAGATTTACAGTGCAGCTCAATAAGGACAGCCAGTATGTCTCCTTGCTCACCAGAGATTCCCAGCTCAGCGACTCAGCCACCTACCTCTGTGCAGTGAGCCCACAGCGCTCTCCCAGCACCTGCAGCCTGTACCCAAACGTCTGGTATTTGCTTAGGCTGCAGGAAGAGCGATTCTGTTTGCTCCCCAGAGGCAAATGAAAATTAAGACATTAGTTGTAGCTATAGAATGCCTTGTATCCACAGGAGGGCACTGGAGCACACAACAACTTCAGATTTCCTGAGAAAGATGTGAGTATCTAAAAGAACTCCAGACACCGAGGAGCTTTGCTGTGATGATTAAAAGCCTACATGATCAATTATCAAAGATCTATGGTATTGAGGGTATCTTAGCAAATGTTGATAAGGAAAGTTGGAAATACTAAAGAACATATGAATGGCCCTCTTCCCTGATTCCCCGACACTGTGGAACTGCCTTACAATCTATGCCCCAAGTTCAGGCAAAATGTCTGTGGCTTGATAGAAAAAAGGTCCTGTAAAAAATATTACAATTACAGGGAAAAATGGAATTATGGAAAACATTTTAAGGTCATGTTTATTTAAAGCTGCAGATATGGTCTGTGAGACATGAAACTGTTTATGTAGTGCAAAGGGTGGGGTAACTTGGAAATGGGGAATTATGATTTTTGTTCAGTTTTGTTCACATAGTCAACATAGTCACTGCATCAGGATGCAACCCAATCAGAATTTGCTTCAGAGTTTCAATCTGCTGACTGAAGAACCCGCACAAATATTTCCAAATCATGGAAAAAAGATTTAAAGGCAGCAAGAAAGGGCAGAAAGTTGTGTTGTAATCAAGATACTCAAAATCTCATTCCACTTTAATTGTGTGCCTTGTGGTATGATGATGCAGTGGGAAGAACTTTCTTTGTGCCAGTTTGAATATCTTTTACGTAACTAGTGGGCCATTTGATCTTGGACTATTCTATATATTTCAGGGTCAGTTTGGAGAGTAAACAAGATAATATGTTGTCTTAGGTTGAGTGCCTTTAAAGCAGAGCCCAGATTGGGGTATCTGTGCCTGTAATTTATTGAGGACAGCAGGTTCAGACAGGAGGGGAAAGGCAGAGCATGGATATAATTCAGCTGGAGCCTTGATTCAGTCTGATCTCACAGGGGTGTTCTAGAGCATGAACTGCAATACAGAATTGACCTTTCCCACCTTGAGTCAAGGGACCAGACAGCTGATCTTTTGTATGCCAGAATAAAAGGTACAAAGTCATTGGCTATGGCCTTTGGAGTAGCAGTGTACCCTATTGAACACTGGCGACTTACTGGCTGATGTCAACTTCCTGGAGAAGAGGGCAACTATAAACCAAGAATAGCCAATACTCACAGTCGCTGGGGGTGGGTACACTGGCCTGGAAAAGGGGATCTAGGCTGAGCACAACAGTATGTGCTATCAACATATAACTCTCTTATCACATGGTCTACATTCAATAAATGATAGACTTTATAATTATTGTATCCAAATTTTTTATTTCTTTTTCTATTCAAGTTATAAAGCTTTCTTTTAAAATTGAAGTCGAATTGATACACAATCTTATAGTGGTTACAAGTATACAACACAGTGGTTCAACAGTTACCCATAATATTCAATCCCCACCCCAACTAGTGCAGTTACTGTCTGTCAACATAGAAGATGCTACCGAATCATTGGCTATATTCTCCATACTGTACTACCATCCCTGTGACCAACTTATATTATGATTGAGAACTTTTGTGCCCCATTATCCCCCTCACCCTCCCCACTCACCCATCCCAACCCATGGTAACTTCCAGTCACTTCTCAGAGTCTAAGAGTCTACTGCTGTGTTGTTTTTTGTTTTGTTTTGTTTTTCTCTTCCACAAATAAGTGAAACCATATGGTATCTGTCTATCGCCTCCTGGCTTATTTCATTTAGGACAATATCCTTTATGTTTGCCCATGTTATTGCAAATGTCAGGATTTCTTTCTTTTTTATGGCTGAATAATATCCCATTGTGTATGTGTACCACATCTTCTGTATCCATTCATCTATTGATAGATATTTATAAAGCTGTTTTTTATAAAGCTGACAGAATTGAAACAATGTAGGTTAAAGCACTCAAGAGAAAGAATCTAAATCAATCAATCAATCAAATGAATTATTATTCAAAGCCAAGACTCAGGACTTTTTAGAATAGTAACCAGGGAGCCAGTATATTACTTTCTTAGTTCCTTTTGGTCATTCTCAAAATACTAATTCCTATATTACTAGACCACAGAGTATGACATTCTGCCATCACTTTGTATCTGGGTATAATAAACAACTCTGAGGTTCATAGCTGAGGACTCTAGGCCTCCATATATGTAAAGACAGATGGAAAAAGATACCGTCTGTACCTAAAAATGACTAACATTACTTTGTTCTTGGTTTATAGCTAAGAATGAAGGGCTAGGTAGCAGGATGGACTCCTTATATTATTGTGCCCATGTTCCTCACATGGTTTCTCCCTAAATGGGGAGTTTGGCCAGTAGTCTGGGCATGTGGGCATCCCATGTTAATTGGCAGGCTTCTTATTAGGATGAATGAGCAGGGAACTGGTTAGTCAGTTCTTCTTTCCCTTTCTCTGTACCTAATATCAGTTGAAGATGGCTTAACTCTATCAACTGTTCATACTGAAAACTTTAGTATTCCTAGGTGTTTTATTTCAACTTTAGCAAAGATCAAATGCCTGTAGAAAGGCTGGCCTACTATGTGTCTCACATGTAAGTGCAGTAGCAGTAAGCAGAGTGAGAGGGAGCCCAGTGTAGCCATGCCACATGTTGACCTTCCGTTCTCCCACCTGTGTTCTGTTTATCCTGCCCTCCATCATACCTATCCTCTTCCTCAGCCCTGCACCTCTTCAGGGTCCTAAGGAGTATGTTTCCTCCACTCATAGCTCATTTTGGGCTCAGCTTTACTCTAGTCTCTCTCACTAGCAGTGTGCTCACATCTACTTTCCATCTATGGAAGTTGTTGATATCTTTCATCTTTTTATTATTTTCCCATTATGGATTTGCTTCATCTTGTTTATATTTCTAAATTTTATTTTGGTGGGCATTTTGGAGAGAATGGAGAATACATATGCTTAGCCAGATATTTTGAATCAGAGCATACCCCAACAACATTTAAAATTTCCAAAAGACTATATGATTTGGTCTCATATGTGAATGAAATCTACACTACAAGCAAGAAAGGTCAAGAAGTTCCTCTCATTTCTGGTCTGCTGGTTGCGCTCCTTCCAGCTTTACTGAATTCATACAGATCTACTTTTTTTCCTCCTTAATTCTTTACAGAGTCACTTATCTCTATATCATAATTTCTCTTCCTTTATAATTCCGCTCAGTTTCCTCTGCAGAAGCTCCTCTGTCAACCTTCTTTTTAGTGTGAGGTCTCCATAATTTGGCATAATTTATCGGTCTATTCTGTCCATTGATAACTGGAACAGGACTTATGTTATTTTCTCATAGGCTGAACAAATATCAAAGTTGTTCCCTTGAAACCAAGTAGTCTTCTTCGCACTTTCTGCTTAACAAAGAAAATTGCCTTTAATTTGTTTGCATTGATTAAATAATTAATGTCATGTTTTCCAGGCTGATTTTAAACATGTCTCTAATTTATCTTTTTCCTTTTGGCACTGAAAAAAGGAAAAATCTCTGCCCCCACTATGGGATGCTCCATCCAGCACCACAAGGCCACGTGAAGATCAGCTTAGCTGAGGCAATTGATCTTAGTCTTTTTGCCCGATGAATGGCTTAAAAAAATAATAGTCTCTCAGAGGTTTTCCAAAGTGTAGGACATTGTCTTCTGTGACTAATTTCTCAATGAAATAAATGGTTCTTCTATTTCTACATAACTTCCACTTCTCATTTATTTTAGGTTTAATACAATGTACTATAGAAGGTGACATCTTCGCAGATTCGGGCAGAGGAAACATGTTCTGTTGAACTTTGATGGTCTCATCTCTGAAATGAGAAGGAAACACAGCTCTCGTGGTTCGCTGGTCCTGTGTCTAGCCTCCAGAGGGCGGTGTTGCATGGTGGAGCCATAGGTTTTGTTGCAGCTCACATCCCCTCAGCCCCTCCTCATCTGCAGCGGGCTGACTCTGTCCTCACTGATGTCTGTGTAGACAGGAAACTGATGAGAATAAGAGCTCAGAAAAGATCCAAACTCACTAAAAGAAAGACACTTTTGAACAGTTTTGAAACTTGTGAACGCAAGGGACTTGCTCAGCCTAACGTCCCCACTCCTCATCAAGCTCCGAAGGCTCGGCGCCCTGCCAACCATCCACCTGCTCGGGAGCCTGCCGCGTTCCCGTGCTCAGCCATGCTCCTGCAGCTCATCCCAGTGCTTCACGTGGCTTTTACCCTGAGTGAGTCCTGTCCATTCCCTTTCTTCCTTTCACAAAAATGACAGTGTTTTAACTTGGAATCTGAATAAGGACACCTTTTCTTTCTAGCCAAGCCTGTGTTGCTTCTAATTATACAGCCTTGACGTTGCAGGAGGAACCAGAGCCCAGTCAGTGACCCAGCCTAATGGCCACATCACCGTCTCTGAAAGAGACCGTCTGGAGCTGAGATGTAACTACTCGTCTTCTGTTCCCCCGTATCTCTTCTGGTACGTGCAATACCCCAACCAAGGACTCCAGCTTCTCCTGAAGTACACGTCTGGAAACAACCTTGTTCCAGGCATCAAAGGTTTTGAGGCCGAATTTAAGAAGAGTGAAACCTCCTTCCACCTGAAGAAACCCTCAGCCCATTGGAGCGACTCAGCCCAGTACTTCTGTTCTCTGAGTGACACAGTGCCTGGAACTGCAGGGGGAGCTGCACGCAAACCTCCCGAGACACTGGGGACTTTTTGTGACTCAAGAACTCAAGAGAGAATTTTCAAGAAGGTCTCTTTTTTTGTAAGGCAAATACGGTGGGCTGGGCTGGGCCCTGTGGGATAGTTGCTTTAACATCAATGCTGTGCCCCTTTCAGATTGATCTTATTACAGATGGAGGTCTTCTGATGAATTTCTCCAGAAGGAACACCCCCACCCTCCCCAGCCCGCTGCCTCACTGAAGAAACTATATCCTACAGTGCCAGAGTACTGAACTGAAAAAGGCAAGAGCATTTTATTAAAAAACCATTTCCAGCATCACTATGATAATTAGCACTGCCCCAGGTATTGACCAATATGTGGAAAACTAAAGTACTTGGTTATAATGTTAGCTGACAAGCTGTGCTATATAAATTCCCAGTTAGAGAAACCTGCATAGCACAGATTCTGAAATAGGGCAATATAGATTCTCAACCTAGATTTGAAGCTTAACATCTAACACATAGGTAACATCCCACTGTGTGATACTGACATAGTTTAAAGTAAATTTCACAACATGATACCTAGATTTCCAATCTTGTGAGCATTATGCAAAACCAATGAACAAATTGAATGTAATTCTTAATGCAATATTGAACATCTAAAAGCCACCATAAAAATATATCATACACAATAGATTAAACTACTCCTAGGCAATTTATACAAAGTAACAGTAATTTATGATGTAACATAAAATTACACACTCAATGAAATGTCCAATTTTTAACAGAACAAAGTTCATAGGAAAATATGAAAACTCCACTATCAAAGTTCACAATATCAAAGATGACATTAATTTTCACAGGGCTATCCCAGACTAAGGAACATTTTTATTTCCTCTGAAACAGCTGTACCCCTAAATCAACATGTTTAAGACATTTTATATACATGACTATGACTTCAAATTATTTTTGTGATCTGATGCATATATGATAAGAAAAGTGTCTCCCAACATATTTTTAAAAAGTATTTACACACACACAGAAATTAAGCCTTCCTTAATTTAACACTTCACAATTTCTAGCGGCAGAAATTATGAAGTGAATCATTTCATTCTTAAAAAAATTACAATTACCGAGATCTAATTCTTCAGAGTGAGATGACGTATGAGTCCCACTTTTAAAAAATATATCCCAAGAACTGTTAAAGCTTGCACTTAAAAACAGTTTACAAAAATGGTTCTATGAATTGAACAAAAAGGGGGTAGAGAAACCATGTGCAAAGATTTACAGATTTGGCTTTTTCCTGTCTTCTTGCATCAAAGACTCATCTCTTCTCACCTTTAAGTTCCTTGGCTGCTGCTGATCCTGTTTCTAGATCTTGGTGTGCCATGTCTTGATTTTCCTTTTTTTCCCCTTTTCATTTTTGTTTAGAACTTTTTTGACAGAGAATCTGTCCTTTCTTTATACTTTTTATGGCCCTTTAATTTGCTTAGGTCACATCGTCCAGGAACAGGGTTCTTGCTATAGTTTTCCAATAACTTTGCTTTTGGGCATGGAAATGCTAGGAGTTTCTGCAGGAAATCCCCAGGGTTCTAGACATAAACCTCTTTATATTGGAGCAGCAACCCAGTTTCCCTTAGTAACTGGTATCAACCACTCCAGCCAATAAAATAAACTCTTTTCTGTTCATTGGTTCAGTGACACATGTGGTCCCAAATGGCCACCTGGGAGTCTCATCTTTCAATTCAATGGAACCGTGGCAGTGTCCCTTGCTTCCCCCAGGGGAAGCCCTATATATATTCCTCCTTGTGGAGAATAAGACCTCCAAACCAATACCAACAAAGTTACAAAGTTTCTGCTAATAAGAGTGAATAGCAGTGAGAGGATCCACTCCTGGGGACACTTCTTGATGCCCGGACCCTTCTTCCTTTCTTTCTTTCCTAATGTTCCTTCCTTCCTTTCCCTCTTCCCCAATGCTTCCTCTGTTTTATACACAGAATGTCTTTTTTTAATTAAGGTATCATTGATTGATACACAATCTTATGAAGGTTTCACATGAGCAACATTGTAGTTACTACATTCACCCCCCATATTATCAAGTCCCCCCCCAACACCCCATTGCAGTCACTGTCCATCAGCGTAGTTAGATGCTATAGAGTCACTACTTGTCTTCTCTGTGCTATACTCCTTCCCCAGGCACTGCCCCCTACATTATGTGTGCTAATTGTAATGCCCCTTTTTCCCCTTTATCCCTCCCTTCCCACCCATCCTCCCCAATCCCTTTCCCTTTGGTAACTGTTAGTCTTGGATTCTATGAGTCTGCTGCTGTTTTGTTCCTTCAGTTTTTGCTTTGTTCTTATACTCCACAGATGAGTGAAATCATTTGATACTTGTCTTTCTCCACCTGGCTTGTTTCACTGAGCATAATACCCTCTAGCTCCATCCATGTTGTTGCAAATGGTAAGATTTGTTTTCTTCTTATGGCTGAATAATATTCCATTGTGTATATGTACCACATCTTCTTTATCCATTTATCTACTGATGGACACTTAGGTTGCTTGATTCTTGGCTATTGTAAATAATGTTGTGATAAACATGGTGGTACATATGTCTTTTTGAAACTGGGTTCCTACATTCTAAGGGGAAAATTCCTAGGAGTGGAATTCCTGGGTCAAATTGTGTTTCTATTTTTAGTTTTTTGACAAACCTCCATACTGCTTTCCACAATGGTTATACTAGTTTACATTCCCACCAGCAGTGTAGGAGGGTTCCCCTTTCTCTGCATCCTCACCAGCATTTGTTGTTCCTACTCTTTTCTTTGTTGGCCATCCTAACTGGTGTGAGGTGATATCTCACTGTGGTTTTAATTTGCATTTCCCTGATGATTAGTGATGTGGAGCATCTTTTAATGTGTCTGTAAACAAGGTTGTTTCCAGATGTGCACTTCAGGAGAAGCTGGAGTCCTTGGTTGGGGTGTTGCATGTACCAGAAGAGATATGGGGGAACAGAAGATGAGTAGTTGCACCTCAGCTCCAGACAGTCTCTTTCAAAGATGGTTTGTAAATGACATATCTGATAAGGGGTCAACATCCAAAATATATAAAGAACTCAGATGCCTCAACACCCAAAAAGCAAACAACCGTATTAAAAAATGGGCAGAGGATATGAACAGACACTTCTCCAAAAAAGAAATTCAGATGGCCAACAGGCACATGAAAAGATGCTCCACATTGTTAATTATGAGGGAAATCATTTGGAATTTGTCGTTCTCTGGCTTATTTCAGTGAGCATAATGTCCTCCAGCTCCATCCATGTTGTTGCAAATGGTAGGATTTGTTTCTTTCTTATGGCTGAATAATATTCCATTGTGTATATGTACCACATCTTCTTTATCCATTCGTCTACTGATGGACACTTAGGTTGCTTCCATATCTTGGCTATTGTAAATACTGCTGCAATAAACATAGGGGTACATATGTCTTTTTGAGTCTGAGAAGTTGTATTCTTTGGGTAAATTCCAAGGAGTGGGATTCCCGGGTCAAATGGTATTACTATTTTTAGTTTTTTGACGAATCTCCATACTGCTTTCCACAATGGTTGAACTAGCTTACATTCCCACCAACAGTGTAGGAGGGTTCCCCTTTCTCCACGTCCTCACCAGCATTTGTTGTTTTTAGTCTTTTTGATGCTGGCCATCCTTACTGGTGTGAGGTGATATCTCATTGTGGTTTTAGTTTGCATTTCCCTGATGATTATTGATGTGGAGCATCTTTTTATGTGTCTGTTGGCCATCTGAATTTCTTCTTTGGAGAACTGTCTCTTCATGTTTCTTCTTTATTATGTTGAGCTACTTGTTCTCTATACCCATTTTGTTGAGAGTTTTTATCATGAATGGATGTTGAATTCTGTTGAATGTTTTTTCAGCATCTATGGAGATGATCATGTGGTTTTTGTCCTTCTTTTTGTTGATGTAGTGGATGATGTTGATGGATTTCCGAATGTTGTACCATCCTTGCATCCCTGGGATGAATCCCAGTTGATCATGATGGATGATCTTTTTGATGTATTTTTGAATTCGGTTTGCTAATATTTTGTTGAGTATATTTGCATCTATGTTCATCAGGGATATTGGTCTGTAATTTTCTTTTTTGGTGGGGTCTTTGCCTGGTTTTGGTATTAAAGTGATGTTGGCCTTGTAGAATGAGTTTTGGAGTATTCCCTCCTCTTCTACTTTTTAGAAAACTTTGAGGATGGGTATTAGGTCTTCACTAAGTGTTTGATAAAATTCAGCAGTGAAACCATGTGGTCCAGAGGCTTTGTTCCTAGGAAGTTTTTTGATTACCAATATAATTTCTTTGCTGGTAATAGATCTATTCAGATTTTCTATTTCTTCCTGGGTCAGCCTTGGAAGGTTGTATTTTTCTAGAAAGTTGTCCATTTCTTCTAGATTATCCAGTTTGTTGCCATGTGATTTTTCATAGCATTCTCTAATAATTTTTTGTATTTCTGTGGTGCCCATAGTGATTTTTCCTTTCTCATTTCTGATTCTATTGATGTGTGTAGACTCTCTTTTTTTCTTGATAAATCTGGCTAGGGGTTTATCTATTTTGTTAATTTTCTTGAAGAACCAGCTTCTGCTTTCATTGATTCTTTCTATTGTTTTATTCTTCTAAATTTTATTTATTTCTGTTTTAATCTTTATTATGTCCCTCCTTTTACTGACTTTGGCCTCATTGGTTCTTCCTTTTCTAGTTTCATTAATTGTGAGTTTAGACTGTTCATTTGGGATTGTTCTTCTTTCCTGAGGTAGGCCTGTATTGCAATATATTTCCCCCTTAGCATGGTCTTCGCTGTGTCCCACAGATTTTTTGTTGTTGAATTATTGTTGTCATTTGTCTCCATATATTGCTTGATCTCTGTTTTTATTTGGTCATTGACACATTGATTATTTAGGAGCATGTTATTAAGCTTCCATGTGTTTGTGGGCTTTTTTGTTTTCTTTGTATAATTTATTTCTGGTTTCATACCTTTGTGATTTGAGAAGCTGGTTGGTACAATTTCAATCTTTGAATTTACTTAGACTCTTTTTGTGGTCTAGTTTAT